ATCTAAGAGTTATTGGCCTTAAAGAGGAGGTAGAGAAAGAGACAAAGGTAGAAAGTTTATTTAAAGAGATAAAAACAAAGAACATTCCAGACCTAGAGACAAATATTAATATTCTAATACCAGAAAGTTATAGAACACCAAAAGCGTATAACAATTTAAAATATATATGCACCCAACACTGGAACACCCAGATATATAAAACAAATACCATTAGAGCTAAAGAGAGAGATATATCCCCAATACAGTAATACCTAGACACTTTATCACCCTACTTTCAGCATTGGACAGATCTTCCAGACAGAAAATCAACAAAGAAACATTGGATTTAATATACACTATAGACCAAATTATGTAATAGAACATTTTATCCAATGACTGCAGAATACACATTCTTTTCATTAGCACATGGATCGTTCTCAAGGATGGACCATATGTTACTCCACAAAACAAGTCTTAAAACATTTAAAAATATTGAAATAATATCAAGTATCTTCTCTGACCACAATGGAATAAAACTAGAAATCAATAATGAAGAATTTTGGTCACTATACAAATACATGGACATTAAATGATATGTTCCTGAATAACCAGTAGGTCAATGAAGAGATTAATAAGAAAATTAAAAACTTTTTCAAAACAAATCATTATGGAAACAAAACATACCAAAACCTGTGGGATACAGCAAAAGTAGGACTAACAGTTTATAATTGCGTACATCAAAAAAGAAGAAAAACTTCAACTAAATAACCCAGATATGCATCCTAAAGAACTAGAAAAGCAAGAGCAAACTAAATCTAAAGTTAGTAGAAGAAATAACAACGATCAGAGCAGAAATAAGTGAAATTGAAATGAAGAAAACAATAGAAAAAATAAAACTAAAAGTTGTTTTTTTTTGAAAAAGATAAAATGGACACTCTTTTAGCCAGATTAGCTAAGAAAACAAAAAGAAGACCCCAAAAAAATCAGGGATGCAAAAGGAGACATTCAGCCTATACTGCAGAAATTCAAATTAGTAGTCAAATTAGAGACTACTTGAGTAATTACATGTGAATAAATTGGAAAACCAGAAGAAATGAATAAATTCCTGGAGACACACAGCCTACCAAGATTGAACCATGAAGAAATACAACACCAGAACAGAGCAATAGCAAGTAATAAGATCAAGACCATAATAGAAAAATCTCCCAACAAAAAAAAGCCTAGGTCTCGATAGCTTCACTGCTGAATTTTACCAAACATTTAAAGAAGAACTAATATCAATCCTACTCAAACTATTATGAAAAATAGAGGTGGAAGCAATATTTCCAAACTCATTCTATGCGGCCAGTATTACCCAGCTACCAAAACCAAAGACACATCAAAAAAAAAAAAAAAAAAAGTGCAGGTCAATATCTCTGATGAATATTAATGAAAAAATCGTCAACAAAATACAAGCAAACTGAATTCAACAACACATCAAAAAGATCATTCATTATGACCAAGTGGGATTTATCTTAGGGATGCAAAGATCATTCAACATATGCAAATGTATCAATGTCATATGGCATATCAACAGAATGGAGGACAAAAACCGTATAATCATTTCAATTGATGCTGAAAACGCATTTGAAAAAATTCAACATCCCTGCATGATAAAACCCCTAAAAAAAGGTATAGTCATAATAGAAACCATATATAACACACCCAAAACTAGTATCATAACAAATGGGAAAAAACAGAAACTCCCCTAAGATCTTGACTATAACAAGGATGCCCGCTTTTACTACTATTATTCAATGTAGTACTGGAAACACTAGCTAGAACAATCAGACAAGAGAAAAAATAAAGGGCATACAAATTGGAAGGGAAGAAATTCAGTTATCCTTGTTTGTAGATGATATGATCTTATATTTTGAATACCCTATAGATGCAACCAAAAAACTACTATTACTAATAAACACATTCAGTAAAGTTGCAGGATACAAAATCAACATACAAATATCAGTAGCATTTTTTATATGCCAACAGCAAATAATCTGAAAAAGAAATCAAGAAAGTAATTTCATTTACAATAGTATATATATAAAATTAAAACTTAGTTATTTCTTGTATGAGATTATCAACTCATGCCAGTTAGAATGGCAATCATGAAAAAATCTGGAGACAACACTCTTACACAGTTGGTGGGAGTGTAAATTAGTTCAACCATTGTGGAAGACAGTGTGGTGATTTCTCAAGGACCTAGAAATAGAAATTTCATTTGACCCAGCAATCCCATTACTGGGTATATACCCAAAGAATGATAAATCATTCTACTATAAAGACACATGCACACATATGTTCATTGCAGCATTGTTTACAATAGCAAAGACCTGGAACCAACCCAAATGCTCAACGATGGTAGACTGGACAAGGAAAATGTGGCACATATACACCATGGAATACTATGGAGCCATAAAAAACGATGAGTTTGTGTCCTTTGCAGGGACATGAATGAATCTGGAAACCATCATTCTTAGCAAACTGACACAAGAACAGAAAGCCAAACACTGTATGTTCTCACTCATAGGTGGGTGTTGAACAACGAGAACACGTGGACTCAGGCAGAAGAACATCACACACTGGGTGCAGTTGTGGGGGTAGGGGAGAGACAGCAGGGGGTGGGGAGGGAGGAGAGGGTGGGGAGGGAGGGGAGGGAAGGGAGGGATAAGATGGGGAGAAATGCCAGATATAGTATGCACCTAAAGTAAAATAAATAAATTTAAATAGGAATTCATTTAACAAAAGAAATGAAATATTTCTACAATGAAAACTGTAAAACATTGATAAAAGAAATGGAAGAGGATACAAAAAATGGAAGCTATTACATGTTCATGGATTCGAAGAATCAATATTGTTAAAATGTCAATACCATCCAAAGCAATATATAGATTCAATGCAATCTCTATCAAAAAACCAATGACATTCTTCACAGAAATAGAAAAATGAATTCTAGAATTTATGTGGAAGTACAAAAGACCCAGATATCCAAAACCAATGACATTCTTCACAGAAATAGACAAATGAATTCTAAAATTTATGTGGAACTACCAAAGACCCAAATATCCAAAACCATCCTAAGCAAAAAGAACAAAACTGAAGGAGTTATGTTCCATCACTTCAAATTACGCTACAGAGCTATATTATGAAAAACAGCATGTTACTGGTATAAACACAAATGCATCGACCAATGAAAGGAACAGAATAGAGAGAACTCAGAGAGAAATCTGTACATACATCTACAGTAAACTCATTTTCCACAAAGGTGCCAAGAACATACATGGGGAAAAGGATAGTCTGTTCAATACATGATGCTGTGAAAACAGGATATTTATATGCAGAAGAATCAAACCTCTATTCCTTGCCATATGCAAAATAAAATCAAAATGGATTAAAAACTTAAATCTAAGACCACAAATTGTGAAACTGCTGATAGAAAACATTGGAGAAACTCTTTGGGACATTGGACTAGGCAAAGATTTCTTGAGTAATGCTCCGCAAGCACAAGCAGGCAACCAAAGCAAAAATGGACAAATGGGATTATATCAAGCTAAAACATTTCTTCATAGCAAAGGAAACAATCAACAAAGTGAAGAAAACAGCCCGTAGAATGGGAGAAAATATTTGCAACTACCCATCTGACAATGGGTTAATAAATGACGCATATAAGGAGCTCAAACAAACTCTATAAGAAAAAAAAACTCAGTAATTCAATGTTTAAAATAGGCAGAACATATGAATACACATTTCTGAAAAGAAGACATACAAATGGCAAACAGGTATATAAAAATGTTCAACATCACGTATTATCTGAGAAATGCAAATAAAAATGATACTGACATCTCAATTCATCTTAGTTAAAAAAAACTTTTATCCAAAAAACAGCCAATAACACATGCTTTCAAGAATGTAGAGGAAAGAGAACCCTCATACACTGTTGATGAAATGTAAATTAGTACAACCACTATGAAGAACAGTTTGGAGGGTCCTCAAAAACCAGAGCTATCATTGGATCCATCAACCCAATGCTAGGTAGATGCCCCCCTGCAAAAAAGAAAATCAATATATTCAATGAAGAGATACATGAACTCCCATGTTTATTGCAGCACTACTCACAATAGCCAAGATTTGGAAGCAACTATCAACAGATGAATGAATAAAAAATTATAGTACGTTTCCACAATGGAGTACTATTCAACCATAGAAAATAATGAGATCCTGTCATTTGCCACAATATGGTTGGAACTGGAGGTCATTATGTTAAGTGAAATAATCCAAGAACAGAAAGACAAACTTCACATGTTCTCACCTATTTTGGGGAGCTAAGAATTAAAACAATTGAACCCATAGATAGAGAGTAGAGGGTGGTTGCCAAAGGCTGGGAAAGGTAGCAGGGGAATGGGGGTTAGTGGGGATAGTTAAAAGGGCCGAAAAAAAGTTAGAAAGAATAAGTAAGATCTAGTATTTGATAGCACAACAGAATGACTATAGTCAATAATAATTTAACTGCACATTTTAATATAACAAAAAGTATAATTGAATTGTTTGTAACATAAAAGATAGATGCGTGAGGTGATGTGTACCTCATTTACCTTGATGTGACTATTACACATTGCATGCTTGTATCAAAACGTACCATATGCTCCATAAACATATACACCTACTATGTACTCATGAAATTAAAAAAAAAAAACAACCCAAACAAGAAAGCAAAACCTAATCACAATGCTTTGCATTTTTAGAGCCCTTTATACTGTTCAATATGTTCTCCCTACTGACATCTGCATCTGTCGTTTGGTATGATGTTAATATTGGGTCATTTTTATAGACGTAATGACTTAAAAATTTTCTTAAACTAGTCTTGCTAATAAGTAAAAATGTCTCAACTTGATCTTACAGGAAAGTGTCTTGATCTTACAGAAAAACTGTCTAGCGTGTTGCTTGTTTTCTTTTTTCTGAAAATTTGCCCTTTCTGTTCCTAGGCTGCACATGTTCTTGTGGAAAAGATCTAAAATCACCACCTTTTGCTTTGTCTGCTGGTGCTTAAGGTGAGTCACTATTACAGGCCCCTTTCTCCCACTGAGTTTTCTGCATGGAGGATAACCTGAGGTAAAAGGGTAGAGAAGGCACGTACATAAAAAAAGACATAGACAGGTAGGAGGGAAGCAAAGAAGGGCACAGATTCAATGCAACAATTAGAGTTGTCTACACATAATCCCTTCTGAAAAGCATTAGCATAGGCTCTTCAAAGCTGTTTGGTTCTTGTCCGTTACAGAACTTTTATATTCTATGAACACCTGGATTGTTAGAACATGTGTGATGGTGAGGATGGTGACCCCTGCCAACCTGTGCTTTAAATGGGCTTGTTTAGTGTTGGGAGAAAACCATTAGGCCACATGCAGAAGAGATGTGCCCACTTTCAGTTTTTCCCACGACAGATGTGGAAGGTATGATTTATCACATAAGGCCAAAACTTTGTGCATGGTTGGTATGACATCAGACATTCCAGACCTTCTCTATGCTCCTTTTTCTCTGCATTGAGCTACAACCTGTAGTACCACTATAGGGATGTGGGAAACGCAGAAAACATATGTTTACAGTTACTGTAATAGCAGTGATTGGTTGTCGATGACTTGTTGGAACTATAGCAAGTTTCTTGCTGGGATGGGAGCATAAGAGTCCATATAGAGCATGGAAATAACCCACTTTTAAGTGAAAAACATTCATTGTTTTTAATAAGATCATTTTCCTGCTGGTAGACTTGGCCTCTCTGGTGATATCTTCTGGGCTCTAGTTCCTATCAGAATACTGAGAGACAGATGGGCTGTAGGAACAATCAAACCTACTTAAATCTGCTTTATAAAGTAGTAAGAGCAAGAATTGATTTTCTGTCCATCAATCCATCCCTCCATCTATTCACCCATTCTTTTATTTATTATTTTCACACAGAAGTCAAAGTAATTTTTCCAAAATACGCATCTGATCCTGTTACTGTCCTCTTTAAATCCTTTCCTAGTTTTTCCCTCAAGGTGAAGTCCAGACTCCTAAATGTCACCTCCTTGGCCCTGCATAATCAGAATCAGGCCTCTGTCCACTTCTCTAGTGACATCTCTTGTTTGATTTCTCTCATCCTTTTATATAGTCTACACTCCTGTCATGCAGAGTATCTTTCACTAGCTTGAAAGAATTATGCTTCTTTCTGCCTTTGGAGCTTTGAGCAAGTTGTCTTTCCCCTTCCTCTCCATCCTTTGACCTCTAATCATTCATCACTTCACCTAAGAGGCCTCACCTTCAGGGAGTATTCAGTTCCTGTGCTAAGTGCTCTCATAGCACCCTCTAGCCTCCCATCACAGCGCTGTAGTACGTATTTCTACCTTTAATGCATCTCTATGTGCCTTATACTTTAAGCTCCTTAAAGGCATAGATAGTACCTATATATATTTTTTGTTGTTGAGACATTAATAGCTAGCACAGAGTCTGCCACATAAGACTTCAGCAGATATTTGTTGTGTAAAATTGTATGACTAACACTGGCAATATATCTTAAAGATTGGCTTTTGTTGAGTAGCTATTTGAATCTGTGTTCCAGCTTCACTATCTGCTCAATGCATGACTTTGGGCAATTTATTTATTTTTTTAAATTTTAAATTCAGGGGTGCATGTGCAGGATGTGCAGCTTTGTTACATAGGTAAATGTGTGCCATGGTGATTTGCTGCACAGATCATCCCATCACCTAGGTATTCAGCCCAGTATTAGCTATTCTTCCGGATGTTCTCCCTCCTCCCCACCCACCCTCTGACAGGCCCCAGTGTGTGTTGTTCCCCCTAACATTTCCATGTGTTCTCATAGTTCAGCTCCCACTTATAAGTGAGAACATGAGGTATTTGGTTTTCTGTCCCTGTGTTAGTTTGCTGAGGATAATCCCTGCAAAGGACATGATCTCGTCCTTTCTTATGGTTGCATAGTATTCCATGGTATATATGTACCACATTTTCTTTATCCAGTCTATCATTGATGCGTGTTTAGTTTGATTCCATGTCTTTGCTATTGTGAATAGTGCTGCATGTATCTTTATAATAGAATGATTTATATTCCTTTCAGTCTATATCCAGTAATGTGATTGCTGGGTTGAATGGTATTTCTGCTTCTGTCTTTGAGGAATCGCCACACTGTCTTCCACAATGGTTGAACTAATTTATATTTCTATTGACAGTATAAAAGCATTCTTTTTTCTCCATAACTTTGCCAGCATCTGTTTTCTTGACTTTTTAGTAATAGCCATTCTAACTGGCATAAGATGGTATCTCATTGTGGTTTTGATTTGCATTTTTCTAATGATCAATATTGAGCTTTTATTCATATGGTGATTGGCCGCATGTATGTCCTCTTTTGAGAGGTGTCTGTTCAAGTCCTTTCCCCACTTTTTAATGGCATTATTTATTTATTTTTCTTGTAAATGTGTTTAAGTTCCTTGTAGATGCTGGATATTGGACCTGTGTCAGATGGATAGATTGCAAACAATTTTTTTCCATTCTGTTCACTCTGACGATACTTTTTTTTCCCCTTTTTTGCTGAGCAGAAGCTCTTTAATTAGATCCCATTTGTCAGTTTTTGCATTTGTTGCAATTGCTTTTGACATTTTCGTCATGAAGCCTTTGACCATGCCTATGTCCTGGATGGTATTGCCTAGATTTTCTTCCAGGGCTTTTATAGTTTTCAGTTTTACATTTAAGTCTTTAATCCATCTTGGGTTGACTTTTGTATATGGTATAAGGAAGTAGTCCAATTTCAGTTTTCTTCATGTAGCCAGCCAGTTCTTCCAGCACCAGTTATTTAATAGGGAATTATTTTCCCATTCTTTGCTCTGTCAGGTTGTCAAAGATCAGATGGTTATAGGTGTGTGGTGTTATTTCTGGATTCTCTGTTCTGTTCCATTGGTCTATGTGTCTGTTCTTGAACCAGTACCATGCTATTCTGGTTACTGTAGCCTTGTAGTTTGAAATCAGGTAGTGTGATGCCTCCAGCTTTGTTCTTTTTGCTTAGGATTGTCTTGACTATCTGGGCTCTTTTTTGGTTCCATAAGAATTTTTAAATAGTTTTTTTTCTAATTCTCTGAAGAATTTCAATGGCAGTTTAATGGGAACAGCATTGAATCTATAAATTACTTTGGGCAGTATGAGCATTGTCACAATATTGATTCTTCTTATCCATGAGCATGGAATGTTTTTCCATTTGTTTCTATCCTCTCTGATTTCTTTGAGCAGTGGTTTGTAGTTCTTCTTGAGAGGTACTTCCCTTCCCTTGTTAGCTGTATTTCTAGGTATTTTATTCTTTTTGTGGCAATTGTGACTGTGAGTTCATTCATGATTTGGCTTTCAGTTTGCATATAGGAATGCTAGTGGCTTTTGCACACTGATTTTCTTTTCTTTTTTTTTTAGATTTTTTTTTATTGTACTTTACTGTACTTTATGTGCAGATCATGCAGGATTGTTGCATAGGTATACACATGGCAATGTGGTTTGCTGCCTCCACCCCCCGTTCACCTATATCTGGCATTTTTCCCCATGTTATCCCTCCCCAACATCCCCACCCCACGCTATCCCTCCCTTAGCCCCCACCTACAGACCTCAGTGTATAATGCTCCCCTCCCTGTGTCCATGTGTTCTCATTTTTCAACACCTGGCTGTGAATGAGAACATGTGGTGTTTGGTTTTCTGTTCTTGTATCAGTTTGCTGAGAATGATAGTTTCCAGATTCATTCATGTCCCTGCAAAGGACATGAACTCATCATTTTTTATGGCTGCATAGTATTCCATGGTGTATATGTGCCACATTTTCCTTGTCCAGTCTATTATTGATGGGCATTTGGGTTGGTTCCAAGTCTTTGCTGTTGTAAACAGTGCCACAGTGAACATATGTGTGCATGTGTCTTTATAATAGAACAATTTACAATCCTTTTCATATATACCCAGTAATGGGATAGCTGGGTCAAATAGAATTTCTATTTCTAGGTCCTTGAGGAATCACCACACCGTCTTCCACAATGGTTGAACTAATTTACACTCCCACCAACAGTGGAAAAGTGTTCCTATTTCTCCACATCCGTTGTCTCCAGATTTTTTATATCCTGAGACTTTGCTGAAGTTGCTTACTGGCTTAAGAAGCTTTGGGGTTGAGATGATGGGGTTTTCTAGATATATGATCATGTCATCTGAAAACAAAGATAGTTTGACTCCCTCTCTTCCTATTCAAATACATTTATTTCCTTCTCTTATCTGATTGCCCTGGCTAGAACTTTCAATATGACGTTGAATAGGATTGGTGAGAGAGGGTATCCTTGTTTTGTGCTAGTTTTCAAAGGGAGTGTTTCCAGCTTTTGGGCAATTTATTTCATCCGTTTGGGCCTTGACTTTCTTTCTATTAAGTAGTAATAATAGTACTATTATTAATTGTTTAATAACAGGGATGCATTTCTAGAAATGTGTCATGAGGTAATTTCATCTTTGTTTAAACATTATAGAGTGTACTAACACAAACCTAGGTGGTGTAGCCTACTACACACTCAGGCTATATACTATAGCCTGTTGCTCCTAAGCCATAAACCTATATAGCAGGTTACTGAATAGTATAAGCAATTATAACACACTTGTAAGTATCTGTGTATCTACACATAGCTAGGAATAGAAAAGGTACAGTAAAAATACGATATTATGGTCTTTTGGTACCACTGTCATCTGTGGTCTATTGTCGACCAAAATGTTATTTGGTGGATGGCTGTACATACAAGTATATACAATCTTAGGATGTCGTTAAATGAGATAATTCATGTCAAGCACTTAGCTAGTGTTTAGCACATATAATACACTTAGTTCTATGTGATAATTGTCTTCTTCATACAGAGCTCTACATGTAAACCCGTGGTGGAATTTAAAAATATGTAATCTACAAGTCATTTCAGGGACTGGCTTAATTTCTCTAAACCTCATAAATGGCTCCCTGAGACAAGCTGAGAACTAACACTAACATGTACTCTGGGAGACACTTTGCTCTAAATCTGGCATAGGGGCTCAAAACCATCATTCTGACTGCTGATATGGCATATTTTCCATGACCTAGTCCAACTTCTCCAAACTCCTAAGCTTAAATCACTTCTAGCATTTCTGTCTTGTTCTCTCCTATCTTTATTTCTTTTCCAGGACTCTCATACTCCTGGAGCCTGCATCTGTTGCCAGCAGATCCCCTTCCTACAATCTGAAGACTGGAGTCTTATTCCAAAAGCCCAGGCCCTGCTGCCATGCTAGTTCTCTGGTGCTGACCACCTATTCATATTACCTTTATCTGGAAGGTTCATCTCCATGGTCTCCCTGACTGACTTAACCCTCTATTATACTGCCTGTCTGACTGGACTGCTACCTCTCTCCTGTATGGTTACCAAGCTCTGATGACTCATTTAGAGTATAGCTGGGCCAGCCTTCTGTTATTTATCCTACACTATTTTGTGTAGTAAGTTTCTCAGTCTGGGTCTCTCTTCTCAGTTTTATTTTGCCATCACCCAAACTCCTGTTTAGGGCTTCTCTGCTTACAAGAAACGACAATGTCTTGGGGGAGATAATGCAAGTCCTTAGATGACAATTAAAGAAGATTGAAAGTTAGAAGTAACTTGAAGTATTGGTAAAAAAAAAAGTGCCTGCTTCTAAAACTTTAAAGAGTAAACAGGAATTAGACAGGGGAAAGATAATGCTTTTGTTTGGTGGAATCTATACTGACACTCCAGGAACGTGGCAGACTAACAGCTAATTGGACAACAAGCAAACTGTGTCTCCACAGGGTGCCCATCATAGGATTCTTAACTCTCCCAGATTCTATTAGGAATGGAGGAACTCTTCCAGTAACACCAGAGTATGTAACTAAGGTGATAGAAAGACTCCAACTTTCCACTGTAAAACCTTCTGTGACATGGACTCTTATCTCGTGGAGAATACCTTGTGTGCCATGCAAGGCATAATGAGGCTGACCAAATTCTTAGTCAAACCTATATTCTGACATGGACAAAAATGTTATAGATAGTTATTGGGATGGAAAAGAATAAAGACACTAAGCTGGAAAAGAAAGGGCAACTTGCTGCTGTTTTAACTGTTTTATATTGTCTTCATGATATTACAGTAGCTCAATCAAAGTTGGGCATATACCTTTCTTTTTAAGAAATTAAGTAAAGTAATCAATAATTATTGCTGTAATCATTCAACTGAGTCTATTTATGTCCACATGATTGAAAATGAGCATTCATGTTTATTACTTTTTTCTCTTCTTGGAAAAATGTATTAAAAGAAAGAGAAGTTTCTTCTTCAGTATTGTCCATTGAATACAAGAGGGGTGAATTCTCTCTTTCACAGTCAGTGGTCTGGCAGTTCTGTTTGCCTGATATAGAAAAATGAGAAAGAGTTTTAATGTTAGACAGATCTAAGTTTGTATCTCTCCACCATTTCTAGCAGAAGGATCTTTCTCTCACTGAACTTCATCTGTAAAATGGAAATAATAATATTGAACTCAGAGTGTTTCCATGAAACTTAAATTATGAATTCCATTGTCAAGGGTCTGGCAGAGTGAATAGTATGTGTAGGGACATAATCAATGAATTCTCAGCTGTTCTTGTTAATTAGGGGAGGTAATATGGAAGCAGTGGTGCCCTGGGAAGAATGCTTTACAGCATGGCCTTGCTTGATCATAACCTAGTGAAGCATTTTTTCTTAGCAGCAAACTCCCAAAGCACTGGCTCATTTTGGTGACCTCTTTTTTTCTGTAATTTTTTTTTTGCCTTTTGCCTTTTGCCTCCAGATAT